CTCCTGAACGGCTGTGAAGGAGGAAGTGTGCGGGTGCATGCACAGTAGAGGGGAGGAGAAAGAAGAGAAACGAAAGTGAATGGACACAGCCTGGCAGCAGGGAGCGTGCACGTTCGACAGACACTGTGGGAACCGACGAGTCTGCGGTGGATCCCGAGACTGGCACCAGTGTTGGAGGGACTGTCGTTAACCAGTGGAATAAGGAAGATGATCGGATCAAGAGGCATCAAATAGGGTAGGTGCCCACAGCAGCATTGGGGGATGGGGGGGGACACAAAAACCTATAATGTCACTTTAAGCCTATCTACCTGCAATATCGAATTTGGCCACTACATGGAGCCTGAGGGAAATATCTCTGTTAATAGCAGCTTCAGAAAAACACTTCCATCACTTCTCAGCCCAAGGAGAAGAAAACAGGTGCATCTTGGGAGTTCAGACTCCATTTTAGGACTGAAGAAGAGGAGCCATTACCACCTGCAGCACATGTCTAGAGGAAAGAGCCTACATTCCCTTAGGCAGCATTGCGGGTAGGATTGGACTTGTTTCCCACTGTACTTATAAGCTAACACTGTATTTACATGTTTTCAATATTGATTGTATGCTCTTTTTTTTACCAGTTTCACCCCATCCTGTTTTGTTAATAAAGCATCAAGATTTTACTAATTCTAGCTTTTTGCAGAATAGGAGGATTTAGCTGCATTTCAAGCTATACACAGGCCACAGGGCAACATGTAGCGGGGACAGAACAGGTGTACTGCACCATCAAACCCATGAAGTACCTTTAACCCCTTCAGGTGGGTTCACGGAAATACACATCACCCGCTTGAAGTCGTGTTCTTGCTATCATTTTTAACAGCAGGCGATTTTCTGTACAAGTGATCCGGCTTCTGTTCAGGCGCTGGATCGTTTGTACGGTGAGATGCTGTGTGCTCCCTCCGCCGCCTTCCCGAGGCTCCAATGTCCCACCTGAGGGCCTGGGACTGGACTGGTGGGTCTCCCCTAATAGATCGGAGGGAGATCAGCAGGCTTCTAGCCGCTAATCTCTCCTCCGATCACTGGACCCGGAAGTGATGTGTATTGCATCACTTCCGGTGTCACTGTTTACAGTCTCCGGCTCTTAGAGCCAGGAGAAGAAGCTGGTGAAGCAGATCTCTGCTTCATCAGCTTCTTTGGGGTCCCTAGTTGACATTAGGGGTCTAAAAGACCCCTGAAGTCTTCATAAAGAAGGCCTGCCACATCCTATTTGCTATTACATTGGGGGCTTATTAGCTTCCTATGTGATAGCAATAAAGTTAAGTGTAAAAAAAAAAAAAGGAAAGTAACATATAAAAAAAAAATCCAAAAATAAATTTTTTAAGGTCTGCAGCCCTCCACGTGCACGCACATATAACGCAAACTCGCATTGGATGCATCTATGTACAAAAACGGAAATTGGGCCACACATGTTACATGTTGCCATCAATGTCGGAGTGACAGCAATAATTCTAGGCCCACTAATCACTGGTAACACTAAACTAATGAGCGGTAAAAGCTTTTAAAGCGACGCCTATGGGAAATTTGGGGCAATTTTTAAGCTTGACATGTTTGGTGTCTATTTACCAGACGTGACCCCATCTTTTATATT